CTGCACACACTGTTTCTCTAGATACCCTGATACATGAAGCTTTCATCTGAGCTGATTGTGATCTCATATCTAACTATTTCTGTTAATATTTTGTCAGGTTGGTGACCCAGTTCAGTTGCCTGCAACTGTAATTTCATCTACTGCTCAGAAGTTAGGGTAAGATCTCTCTCTCTCTGTTCTATACATACTCTGGATGTAAGGTTTTACAACATTCTAAATAATACTAATGTATCCATTAGGTACGGTACTAGTTTGTTCAAGAGATTTCAGGCTGCGGGTTTTCCTGTGCAAATGCTCAAAATTCAGTATCGCATGCACCCAGAGGTAATATTGCCTAAATTCATTTAAAAGATGGAGACTGGAGTCGTTTTCTTATTTTATTAATCCACTAAAAAACAGATTAGTATATTCCCCTCAAAAGAATTCTACGAAGGTGTCCTAGAAGACGGGGAGGGACTCAGCAAGAAACGTCCATGGCATTCCTACAGCTGTTTCGGCCCATTCTGCTTCTTTGATGTGGATGGGACTGAGTCCCAACCATCTGGAAGTGGTTCATGGGTGAATGAGGATGAAGTGGAATTCATAACCCTCTTATATCATCAAATGGCTATGCGCTATCCAGAACTCAAATCTAGTTCCCAGGTAGCTGTCATATCACCATACAGGCATCAGGTGAAGCTCTTGAAGGACCATTTTCGGTCGACCTTCGGTGATCAGTCTAAGGAAGTGATAGACGTAAATACAGTTGATGGATTCCAGGTTTGTTTTGCATGCAAATGCAGACCTGCTGTATATGTAGATTTGTAGCAAATCACAGTGATTATAACTTTTGTAATGTTTGTTCTTGATGCTCACATATAGGGGCGTGAAAAGGAAGTAGTCATTTTCTCATGTGTTCGGTGCAATAAGGAACAAAAGATTGGGTTCGTTTCTGATTTTCGACGAATGAATGTCGCCATCACAAGAGCTAGGTCTGCTGTACTAGTAAGTAATCTATGCAAACTCCAATCCTTACATGTCATACCAATTTCTGCATGATTTGCAGTCAAGCAGTACCGTCTTTTGCATAATACACAGCGGATATGCACTCATATGAGTACAGAGGCGTGTTTTTACTCAATAATGGAGAGTTTTGCATCCTAGTGAAGTGTGTACAAAGCAAGGAGCATCTCTCTCATACAGTACTGCTCAGCATGCTAGTTCAAGGTGGCTGCTGTAATTTTTGTTCTGTCATGTGAGGTTTTATCTTACGTTCATAATGTAAAGTCCCTTTCTGAGATTGGTGAGCTGTGCAATATGTAACTTTCTTGGATTCCATCCATTACACAGGGGCTAGTAAAAGTAAATCATAGACTGGATATCTGGTCAATCAGTTGTTTCTGGCTATATCACTATTTGCTTATGTAGTTAACTTTGTTGGTTTAGTTATCAATCCAAATAATACTTGTCATACCACAGGTTGTAGGTTCTGCTTCAACATTGAAGGAAGATAAACACTGGAACAACCTTGTGGAGAGTGCAAAAGAGCGGGGTCGCTATTTCCAGGTTTGATTGCTGCCACCTTTTCCTTTTGTTCAAAGCATAGGAAGTAAACACTTGAATGAATCTAACTATGAGCACCTTGTAGGTTCCGAAGCCATTCACCGCATTCTTTGTGGATGATAAGCTGAAAACCATGAAAGTGGAGAGAGCTCCTCCGGAGCTGAGGACTGTGCAAGCATTGGAAGCAATAAACGAAGCAGTTGTAGGGCAAGAACTCATGGATGTCGACGATGCTGGCGACCAAGAGGATGAAGGGTATGATGATGATCCCGTGGAGGCTGATGATGGTGGCGGCGATGACTAACCATTCACTACCACATAGAGGTATGTAGAAGAGCAACATTTGTTTAGGTGGACTTGGATGCTGGACCCCAGCCACAGCCAGGGCCTTTAGTTGAGCCTTCGAATTACAAATTCAGTGCCGTGATTCTTTGCTATTTCGGGTGCGAGAGGTGGCTGAATGCCTGAGTTCATAGTTGCAGGCATAGCTACATCTTATGTTTTAAGTTATGTATGTATACAAAGCCCCTTGCACCAAAAGAGCTGAAAACTGCTCAACTGGCTTTAATTTGTCTGCGGCTATAATTTTGCACGGCAGTTGTGCATATTGTTCCAAAAAAAGAAGTGTTGCTCTAGGCTGTGGCAGTCTGATGGCATTTTCTTTGGTGTTCGTAGGTAAGTGTGTAACCAGTGATTTATCTCATCTTTCTTTTACATGGGGTACTTGCAGTTGTCGAAGAAAACCATTGTTTGCTTTTCTTTATGAAAGCCAAGTGCATTAACCGCAGCATACATGCACTGCCTGAGCGGCAGAACACACATGGGCTGCCATCATGAGTTTGCAGCTGCTGCCTGCGTGTAGATGAGCTGCACAACAGATGGCATTGGCCTTTAAAAGGCAGAGTAAAAGAGCAATATATGCAGTGACATGTACACGGAGACACCGAGAAACCAAGTCGAGAGAGGCGTGTATGCACGACAGGAGGGGTTTCTAGTGCAATTCTTTGGTTTTTGTTTTTCTCCTTTTTCATGCTCAAGGTAAAGTGAGCTGGATGGGCGCATTCTAAGCCAAGAAGTCTGTCTGTCTCTCTCTCTCTCTCTCTCTATCTATCTATATATATATATATATATATATATATATACATACATACATACATACATACTATATATATATATACATACATACATACATACATACATACACTGAAAATCCTCGTGTCACCAGTTCAAATCTGGTTCCTGGCACAGAAAAAAGGGATCTTCCGAATAGGTATTAATACAAATACCTTGAGATGGGTTGGGATACATATTCGTTAATAATATAGATAGAGTATGATTTTTTCATCTAAGTAGATAAATCTCTAAATAGAGGCACTTCTTTTTCTGCATTTTTGCATTTCTTAATTTTCTATTCCGCTATTCCGACAAATATTTTTTTATTCTTGCTTATCTTATCTTACTTTCCTAGTCGTTCTAAGTAATGCACGCTGTACAAAGTTCGTGGTAGGGAACTTCTTTGAGTCATCATATTTTTCTCTGTTCATACGAAGGAAATGAATATGTGATTTTCTAACGAAATGAAGCCCTTTATATATATATATATATATATATATATATTCTTTTTTAGTAGCTCGAACTATAGGACTAGGAGGCACTGGGACTTTAGGCCATGCAACAGTTGTGATAAAATGCGCATAGATCCTTTGCACTGCGGCTAGAACTAGAAGTCACTGACAAGCGGGTCTGGTCCCACGTGAGTGGCTCATACATCGCCAGTGGTATTGCAGAGGGTGTGTATGGCAGGCCATAAGTAGCTATGGAGGCATGGGTAGTAAGAACCACGAGAGAGTTAACGTGCAGCAAATCTATCATCTTTGTCACGCCGTAAAAAAGATGTTGATCATATGTAACATCCCAGCCTAGTACTTAATAGGATTAATAGAATACTCATATCAACAAGTTACAACTTTTTTCCGGAAGCCGATCACTAAGGAACTTTGAGGTTAATCGTGCTTGGCTTGGAGCAATTTAGGGACGGGTGACCGATCGGGAAGAAGATATGTAAGTTCTTCCTGAGTTCACACTAGTAAGGACGGACAAAGTGTGCAGAAAAGATATGTAAGTTCTTCAAGTTCTTCCTGAGTTAACACTCACTAGTAAACCTATAAAAGCTAACATATGTAAGCGGGTCCGGCCTGGGAGAGACGGGACGTTACATCATGAAATCTTCGTCTATGAAGATTTCTTAAGATCTTTTTTTTTTCAGATCATATGTATGCATCTAGCTATGTACGCAGGTTGTTCAGTACAAGGAAAAATAATCCCAAAAATCATAGTGCTGATTTGAGGCTTCTAATTGTCAATACCTATATGAGTTTCAGATTCCAAGTACCTCTATGTGCATGTGTATATCATTGTCTCCATCAATTCTTTTAGAAAGACAAATATAACTAGAATCTCTAGCATGCACTGTATATAATAAATATATAAACAGAGAGCACCCGTGCCAATTATTCCTCTTAACTTGGATGACCATGGAGGTTAAATAGCCTCTACCATTTAATTTGCTCTCTATTTACCATTCTTCCTTGGGATGAACTAAAACGTGGGTTGGAAGGCACCGGCATTTTCAGGCTAGAGACTGACAATCATTTAGCAGCTTGCGGATTTTAAGGATACAGCTTTGGATGGCTGTGTAAGCTCGGGATGAGCTTCGTCGTGCCTCCTCCACTAAGCTCTGATCTTTATGTGCAGAGGATAGTGGGGGCTCCAAATAGTAGTGGCTCATAACACACAAGCATAAATTTGTGTTTCGATCCAAAAATTAGAGAAGAATGCAGAAGGATGAGAGGGTCGTCTAAATAACTAAATTGTTGGGTTTATTTGTGCAGTTGTCCCCAAACTGTATGTATATTAGCGCTGCTGCTACTCTGTATTATGTAGCTGTTCAAAGTGTATTACGGTGTAGCTAGTCTGGTTTTTAGTGAGTGCAAAACCATAACCACTGGTTCATTTCTGGATGTGGATTGAACTTTTTTTCTTAGATTTTCTCTTCTCTCTCTCTCTCTCTCTCTATCCCTAGATTGTAGTCTTACAAAATATACACCTTTTAGGAAACTATTTACACCTTGACAGGATGTCTTCTTGTTTTAATATCACTCAAAAAATCACTAAAAAAATTGAAAAAAGCAAGCTAGATCAATATGTGATATGCCACTCTACAAACGTGCATATTTAAATTCAACTTATACAACAAATTCGACTTTGAATAAAACACGTAATTCACAGTCAAATTTGCTATATTTGTTTCTAATTGTACAAGTTGAATTTAAGCTTACATGGTTGTGGAATGACACATCACATACTGGTCTGTCTTTCCTTTTTTTTTTTCTCAAAATTTTCTGATGATTTTTTCAATGCCATGTACAAGATAAGAAAACGAGAGGATGTCTCCTCGAGCGATAAAAATCCATCTCCCATCTTTTGTTCACCAAAAGACCATACTCAGGGAAACCTTACTTCAGAGTGCCATATAGTGCATCCTTTACATTTTTTTAGATAATGGATTAAACCAGCCTCTACACCCAAAAAAGGATGTACACAGCCCCAACGAAACTTACAAGAGTACATAGACTCACACTCTTACACAAGGTTTAACACCATCACAAGCAACTAGACCCGAGCACTTAGGCTCTAGCAACAGCAATTCTTAAAAAGTTAATACAAAGTTTCAACCATACCACACAAGAAAACCAGAGAGCATTAATCTCCCAATCTTTTCCTTAAGTTCCATCCCTTCATTGCGAAAAAGCCAGAAACTCTCTTCTCTAGAATCAAGCAACATTCTCTCACTTTTTGGCCATCTTCTTCCTTAAGTAGCAAAGACCATTGTCTTGCCCAAAAAGTCCCCCTGAAAATCACCTGCAACAGAAAATTAGTATTGGAGCCATTAAAGACTACATCATTCCAGCATAACCAAACCGCCCAACACAAAGCTGAAATCCCCACAAGGATTTGAGCTCTTAGCTTGGGTTGAACCCCCTTTAGCCAATTGCCGAACATACTAGCAACATTCCTAGGCCGGTGAATTCCAAAAAATATATAGACTGCATTCCACATGAATCTTGCCAAAATACAATCAAAGAAAAGGTGTTGAATTGATTCGTTAGAATCACAAAAACAACACTTAACATTACCCTTCCACTTGCTTTTGGCTAAATTATCCTTTGTTAAAATTACTCCATTCTTTAAGTACCACAAGAAAATTTTAATTTTCAGTGGTATTCTGAGTTTCCAAATCATGTCCTTTTTAGGAACGACTTCCCTGTACATGATTGCTTTGTACATTGAGTTAACTGAGAAACACCCATTCTTTTGTATCTCCCACAAAAAGGTACCATTCTGCTCGGTCAATTTTATTGATATAACCTTTGAGACCACTTCCAACCAAGCTTTTAAATTATGACCCACCATAGCCCTCCTAAAGGACACTTTTAGAGGTCTTTTACTCATAACCACTGCCACTGATTCATTCTTGTTTATCACAAGGTTGTATAAGGCCGGGTAACGAGCAGCAAAGGGAGTATTCCCGTTCCATTTATCCTCCCAGAATCTGACCTGAGTCCCATTGTGTACTTTTAATGATCCACAAGAAAGGAAGATGTTCTTAACCATCATGAGTCCTGACCAGAAATGAGAATCCCCTGATTTTTTATCTACATGAGTCAAAGTTTTCTTAGATAGGTATTTCCTTCTTAACAAGTTTTGCCAAACTCCCTCTTCATTCCAAAGTTTATATAACCATTTACTTAGCATGTATTTGTTTTGTAGTTCTAGGTTTTGTATCCCAAGACCCCCACATTCCTTTGGCTTGCATAAAATGCTCCACTTAGCCAACCTATACTTCTTCTTATGTTCTTCACATTGCCAAAAGAAACGTGACCTATAATAGTCCAGCTTCTCGAGAATACCTTTAGGTACCTCAAAAAAAGAGAGCATGAACATAGCCAAGCTGCTAAGCACCGAGTTTATCAACACTAATCTACCACCTACCGATAGATGCTTTCCTTTCCAACTACTCAATTTTTTCTGAATTCTCTCTTCGATTGTAAGTCAATCTTTGTTTGACAATTTTTTGTGATGCATTGGGATCCCTAGATATCTAAATGGATACCTACCGGAACCGCAGCCAAACAACGTGACATACTCTCTCTCCACTTCCTTAGCCCTACCAAAACAGAACAATTCACTCTTGTGGAAGTTGATATTTAGACCCGCTAACCTCTCGAATGTACTTAGTACAAGTTTGAGGTTTTTGGCTTCTTCTAGATCATGTTCCATAAAGATGATTGTATCATCTGCATATTGCAAGATAGATAGCCCATTATCTACCAGATGCAGTATCACCCCATGAAAGCTCCCTCCTTCATTTGCCCTTTTAATCAAGATTGCTAACATGTCAGCCACCAAATTAAAGAGGATCGGCAATAATGGATCCCCTTGTCTTAAGCCCTTTTTTGTTTGAAAGAAGTTTCCAGCTTCATCGTTCACCTTAATTGCTACACTACCCCCTCTGACAATCTTATCTATCCACCGACATCAAAGTGGTGAGAATCCTTTCATTCTCAACGTCTGTTGGAGAAATCTTCAGTCTACTTTATCGTAAGCTTTTTCAAAGTCGAGTTTAAAAATTACCCCATCATTCTTCTTCTTATGCATTTCATGAATGCATCATCTACAGAACTTACTACTATCACTCTGTTGTAAACCAAAGCTTTCTGTGGCAAGATTGTGTGAATCATTTCGTATGCCAGGCATCCTTGCATAAATCATTGCAGATTTGCAGGGGTTGAAGAACCCATTTAAATTCTGCATAAGATGTTCTAAAGTTTGATGAGATAGCACGATCGAGAGGCCAAGAAAAAGGATGAGTTGTGCTCATGAGCTAGCCGGCCGTAGGCTTGGGAGGCACTGGGAATGAAACTAAACGAAGAAGCATCTTGGTGACTACAACAATACTCCCTTGGTCTCCAAACTCAGCTCCTGATCAAACTCTCATGAGAGTGATCTTGGTTACTTTGTCTGGGTGACCATGGACAATCCGAGGGCTGAACACAGAGTGGAGCGATTTCTGAGCATGTTTTATACCAGAACCAGGTTTCAGGTGGGAGATGGGGGGCAATCACTGAGCTCTGGAGATCCAACTGACTCGAACAGGGTTCATTCGAACATGGGATGCTTCCAGATGAACATCACCAATCCCATGGGATGCTTGATGCTTCCAGCTGATGAACATCCGGAGATATCCCTGAACCCAGATGAAGAAGACACTGTGTGGTGGGAGTTGGAGACACATGGCCATTTCACTGTATCATTGGCCTACCAGATGTTCTTCATGGCAAGCCTTGTCCTTAATCCCCTATGTTTGTTCTTCATGGCAAGCCTTGTCCTTAATTCCCTATGTTTGATGTTGTGACGGATCATCCAGAAGGAGAGAAACACAGGAGCAGTGTTTGATTATCTGGGCAAGTACATATTTCGGTATTTATGTCATGATCATTTGCTTTGGTCTAGTTTTCATGCAGAGTAGGATTAGAAATCTCAGGCCGATGTGTCCGAAATCCCCAGTGAGGGGCATTGGCAAGCGTCTCAAGCATTTTAGATTACTTCAGCTTTTGTCTCTATCAACTCTTTGGTGAAACATTCTAGGCCAATTATTCCTCTTAACCAGGGTTTTAAATTTCGGAAGCAGCAGTTCTGCCGCCGGTGAGCGATAGAACCGAAATTTCGTACGAATTTTTTTGAATTTTTGACGGATTTTGAATAAATTCGAATAAAATCTGACCAAATTCACAAAAATTGCAAAAAACCGAAATTTTCAGGTGAGATGTTAGCATTTCGGTGGGGGGGGGGGGGCGAAATTTCCGAAATTTCGTTCCGAAATTTCAAACACTGCTCTTAACTTGGGTAGCTATGGAATTTTAATAGCCTTAATACCGGTTGATTGGCTGTGCCTTTTTATTGTCAGCTTCAGACATAACAAGGAATCATTCGAGCAACCATACATATATATATCCAATTGCTAGAAGCAATACCTGAGAGATACACGGAATGGCAAGAGACGAAGTTGTTTTCTGCCCATTTACCATTCGTGGTTGAGTCAATGGCGCTTGTGGATTATGTTGCTGAGATGAACTAGACTGTGTGGGATTAGGAGGTACCAGGATTTTCAGGCTACGGGCTTGAGGATGATCTAGCACTAGCAGGTGAAAGGTTTTATGCTTGGATGGATCAGTAAGGTGGATCTACCAGGCCTTGGATGGATGTGAATGCCTGGGACGTGCTTGGATGTGTTCAGCTCAACCACACTGTTCCAGTGCTGAACTATTTAATCATCTGCAGGATTTGAGGCGTTAATTCATACTTCGCAAAGTTCGCATGATTTGAGAGCATAACTGCTCACTGCCCAGCTAGTGAATGGTGCGCGGTGAGGAGACGGCAAGTGCCGGTGTAGCTAGAGCAAAGCTGTATAGGATTGGGAGACAATGGGATCTTTTGCTACGCAGCGTGAAGCGGCGTGTCAACTTTGTTCATGATTTCCACTGTCCATACATACTTGGGAGGGTTACTAGGCTTGTGATAGGAGAGGGGTAGGTTTATATTTTGACCTGCTACATTTTGGAGGAGAATGCATTAACAATGCTATTAAGAATAAGGATGAGAGAGTAGAGATCAAATTGTTGGTTTTACTTATGTCCAAATACCTAGCTACTAGTACGTAGTCTAGTCAAGAAAATACAATCGTCAATTCTTCATTTCTGTATGTGGATATTGGTCTTTTTCTTCTGCCCATTCGTTTACCCTTCAGTCTATAAGCTGCAACAAAAAAAAAATTATAACCTAATTTTGGAGTTGTTTTTGGGTTTTTCTTTATCGTAGTTTAAAATTTTATACTATGATACCACGTGTATTTGGGGGTTTACTATTTTGATATACCACGTGTATTTCTCAGTGCGAGGTATCTAATAAGGTGAAGCAAATTACCTATAAGCTCGAGTTTATGGGCATCTGCATCACTGCATGCAGTCGCTGCCTCCGTGTAAATGAATTGCACAGGACCTATCCGATGTGACATATTTCAATACCAATGTGATATTTTCTTGGTAAAATTAGTTGTGAAGATAAAGGTCATGTAATCTTTGCATATGGTGATTTGAAAAAAAAAACTCTTATTTCTTCAGATCAGTACAGAAAAAAAAACAGATAACTACACCGATGTTTGTGCCATTGGCTTGAATTGGTTGAGCTTGATGTGTTTAGGCCAGCACCACTACTGGAATTACGGTTCTGTTCGTCCGTTGAGTTCTACGGCCCAATACCTGGAGATTAATTAGCCATTCTCATGTTTGCCGATTGGGGCTAAACAAACTAGCAACCGGAACCGGGGCTATCCCGGACGAAAGCTCTATTAAATTATAATATTTTTGAATAAACTGACGATGAAACTTTTATAATAAATGATAGTTATAGTGAAATTTGTCTGGGCTCGAAAATTTTTCTAACCCCACCACTGGCCAGAATTGTTTAATTATCTGTAGGTTTTGAGGTGTTGATACTTCACATGAAGAAAACAGGAACACAAACACAAGAGATAATAGTTTGTACGTATAAATTTCTCAAGATAGGAATATGGCTCTAGAGTCTTTCAACTTTCAAGACTACAAGAACAACCGTAGCTGCATTCTTTTGGGGTTGGGAACCTTCCCCTCATACAAAACCGGAACGGTAGACTAACGAATATTAATTAAGTATCAGCTAAAATAACTTGAGAATTAAATTTATATGATTTGTTAAGACAACTTTTCTACATGTATATATTTTTAAAGCATACCATTTAACAGTTTGAGAAGAGTGTAGACAGAAAACAAGAGGGTAGAAGTTGGAAAAATATAGGTAGGCAGAGATAGTTATAGGGTTAATTAGGAGATGATGAGATGTTATGGTGTGCTTCTTGCAGGTTTGAATGCCGTATTATCAGCTATGTTATCTAGTATTATCATAGATACTACTAGAAAAATCAATTTTACAGTCGGACAAATCAGCTTTTCGTAGGCGGCCACTCGAACCGCCTATAGGCAAAGGCCCACGAAAATAGTGTATTTGCAGATGGGTGAACTGGCCGCCTGCAAAAACCGATTTTTCGCGGGCGGATTCCTTAACAGGTCCGCCTGCGAAAATATTTGCATAGCGCAAAAAAAAACCTGGGAAATTCTAAATCCCCCGTACAAGCAGATTCGAAAGCCCTAAATCCATTCAACAAATTTATCAAATCCTCAAATCCATTCAACAAATTCATCGCAATTCTCAAATCCAGTAAACAAATTCATCACATATCAACACAAAGAAACAAAAATTCGTCGCAGTCGAAGCCGTCACTGCTCATGAACAAACCTGCGACAGATCTAGGCGCCCGAGGACAACCAATGGTGGAATTGCTCTCCCGACGACGACCCGAGGCAGGCCGGCAGCGGATCCGCGTGCCCAAGGTCAGCCGGCGGTGGATCTACGCGCCTGGGTGAGCCGGCGGCGGATCAAGGCGTCGTCGTCATCATCATAGCCGGTGGCAGGACCCAGGCGTCGACGCCGTCGTCGTCGTTGCGGCAGTCATCATCATCGCGGCCGAGGCCAGCTTGCAGTGGATCCGCGCGCCTAGGCGAGCCGACGACGGTAGATCCAAGTGGCATTGTCGTCATCATCGCAGCCGGCGGTAGGACTCGGCGCCGTCATCGTCACCAAGGCGGACCTCCTCGGAGCTGTCGCCAAGGCGCCGATGCCACTCCTCTCCCTAGCCAATGCGTGATGAGAGAGAGAGAGAGGGGGGAATGAGTAGGTTGATCTGCAGGCATGATTTTCGTAGATGGACCACATAAGGTTTCACTTGCGAAAATCAATTTTCCAGACGGGCCCCTTAAAAGGTCTGTCTAGATTTTCACAGGCGGGGTTAAATCTAGAGGTTCTTTAGCTATTTTCGCAAACGGTTATAAGAGGGTATTTTGTTTGGTCCGCCTGAAAAAAATAAAAAGCCAACGTTGATAAAAATCGTTTTTCTATTAATGTGACCATACATGTTTGGAGAGTTAGCATGTCTCCAAATAGTAGCGGTCCACGGGTAAATTTGGACACGAAACACATGCTTAGATTTGCGTTTTGACCTACATAACGGAGACTAAATTGTTGGTTTTTTACTTGTGCCCAAAGTTATTGTTGGCATGCTAGCGCTGATGGTCTCTGTATATGTGCTAAAGGCTGATGATGCGACAGCTAGCGCGAGATGCAGGGGCCAAGAAGAATAGGATTGGGCGGCACTAGGAACTGATGAAGCTGAACGACGAACCAACTTGGGGTGATCTTGATCAGAAGACTCCTTTGGTCCCCAAAAACTTCTGATCTTGCTTCGCAGCGAGATTGATCCTGGTGATTTCATCTAGCTGTTGTGGTTAACTTGCTGATTGTCCCAACTGAATAGAGGGGCGCCCTGCACTTCTCCTTATCTCTACGTATACCAAGTTTGATTTGGATATTTTGAAAGATGACCATGCTCATCTGTTTACACTCTCTTTCGATATCAATTCTTTAAGTTAATTAGTGCTTGGTATTACATGGTAGGATTTGCTAGGATCGATCCAGTGTACACTAAATTTTAGTTTCAGGTATATATCCAAAATCCCGAGAGGGAGGGAAAAGCGTGGTGCTCTCTACTGTTAGTAGAAATTAATTTAAACCGATTATCTAGTTTATCTAAGGGTTTGGATCTTTTTATATAGTACTACCACATTAGTCAACAGTAGTAGAAATGTGTATAAGGTATAATTGTCCAACAAATATAGGAGTATATGGGTAAAATTATAATTTTTTTCCACTTTATTTTGCCCAGAAAGTGCGAACTGCAGATCCTTAACTAAAGTAAAGATAAATTATGGACTTGTACGTCTACAGTGTTTCAGTTCGAAAATAGGACTCGTAGAAAACTTCTTCATGGAATCAATTGGTTCCACATATATGATAGAGAAAATCCCCTGTGTACCCCTGAAAGTTCACCTAATCCCTTCTGTATCCCTGAATTTTGCTCATTCTCTTGGATACCCCTGAATTTTAGTTTGTATCTCTTCCATGCCCTTTCCGCTAGTTGACCGTTAGTTGACCGTTAAATTCTTATGAAAAAGTCCATTTTGCGCTTTGGTATAAAGAAGCATATAAATTAATAGAGTATATTGTTGGAGCATAGAAATGTGTTATATGAGACTATTATGTTTATGACATAGTTATGCACCATATTATTTGCGATAAATATACTTTTAGATATGACATAAAAAATTAATACTTATTTATTTTTTTAGCATATGTATTCTGATAGTAATAAACAAATATGTTATATTACTATGAAAACACAAATGCTACATAAAAGAACTTTTAATAACTAATAAATAAGTATTAAATTTTTATATCATATGTAAAAGTAAATTTGTCACAAATAATATGGTGCATCACAGACTCATAAATATAATAGTCTCATCCAATAAATTTTTACATTCCAACAATATACTTCATTAATTTATTATGTTTCTTCATAGGAAAGGGCAAAATGGACTTTTTCAAAAGAATTTAACGGTCAACTAACGGTTAACTAGCGGAAAGGACATGGAAGAGATCCAAACTAAAATTTAGGGGTATGTAAGGGATTGAGCAAAATTCAGGGGTATAGAAGGGATTAGGTGAACTTTCATAGATACGTAGGGGATTTTCTCTATATGATATTACTGATCGAGCCACAGATCTGTACGAGTAGACTCTTTCGGCTGGAAACTTATCCATACAATACTGCAGATCCAAGGATGGTCGTGTATCAAAAAAGATTTTTGCCGAGCAGTAGCCATAGTAGATCGACACAGGTGGGAGGATTTGCGCGGAATAATGCTCCGTCGTAAAGTACTGATATGTACTTATGAACCGACTGTTTACATCAATTCTGCTGGTAGTATAATACTCTCGAATATCCGTGACGATCTCTAAAAACATCACGAAAATTTCGTCACAGATTAAATAGTTTCTTGTAGTGTTTGTAGGATATGGGACGATCCTAATCGGACAAGCAAGCCGGCGACGAGAAGGCAGAGGAGTGACATGAGTGGACGGGCAGGTGGGCGGGCAGAGGAGGAGCACATGCAGGCGAAGGAGTGTGACGACAGTCGGGCGGGTGGAGGAGTGGCGCGAGCATGCGAGCAGGCAAATGGGCGGCGGAGGAGCTAGACGGCGGGTGGGCGGCGGAGGAGCTGGATGATGGCTTGGCGGACGGAGGAGTGGTGCGAGCAGGTGAGCGGGCAGCGGAGGAGCGCGACGGCAGCTTGGCGGGCAGAGGAGCGGTGCGAGCAGGCGGGCGGGCAAAGGAGGAGTGCGAAGAAGGAGTAGCGCGGCAAGTCGGCCAGCGGATGAAGGAGCGACGCGGTAGGCAAGCAGGCTGACAGGCAGAGGAGCGCGACCGGCGAGCGAGCAAGCGGACGGACGCACGAGCACGCGGAGCGAAGCAGCTTTTCTCACGCCGTGCATCCAACCCAGGTGGGACGAACTCATCCACTCGTTTTTGCTGGATGATTTGGTCTTGGATTTGAGGGGAATATTCCTCTAAAGGGACCAACCCATCCCATCTATCCCCCAACCAAACGCTACGAAAAACAGGTTCGTCCCGTCCCAACCCATTCCATCGCACCAACCAAACACTACCTTAAATGCTGCACAATATGTGATGAAGACTCAGCTTTCACGAGATGTGCAGGGATAAGAAAGAAAGAAAGAAAGAAAGAAGCTGTGCTCATGAGCCATAGGATTGGGATGCACCGGGAAACGAAGCTAACCGTAGCATCAACTCAGTGTGACTACCAGACGATCCCAATGCACTATACTCAACTTCTCTCCAAACCCAGCTCTTGTTAGCGCCGATTCTGATTAGGATATAGCTGCAGCACGTTGCGATGTATGCCCCGAGAAGACGGGTGGTTCAGTTTCACTTGCATGCGAGCCAAGGTAGATCCGAATAAAATGACCATGAATGTTTCACTCTCTCAGCTAATTAACATCGTAATATGTCACATTCCTCTCCTGTACCAGTCTTAAGTGACCACTTGGTATGTTTGACATATGTTACGATTTTCAAAGGTGCTAATGTATGCAGAGGATTGGCTTGAGATTTCAGTCATCCGAAATCGGTGTGTCATCCTATATAAGCATTTTTTTTTTACAATTTACATGATTCAGTCAGTGTTAACATTCTCCATAGCCTTGTTAAGTGATGAGCCATTAAAGGAACACCATATATATATATATATATATGTATGTATATATATATACACACACATATATATATATATATACATATATACATATATATACATATACATATATACATATACATATATATATACATATATATATATATATGTATATATATATGTATATGTATATATGTATATGTATATATGTATATATGTATATGTATATATGTATATATATATGTATATGTATATATGTATATGTATATATGTATATATATATGTATATGTATATATGTATATATATATGTATATATGTATATATATATATATATACCGAGAGGAATTGATGCAGAAGGAAGTTGGATGCCTACATGATGCATACACAAGGCCATGGAATCAGGCATGAGTTTGGTTCTCAATATAATTCTGGCAAGAATTCTGGGGCTTGGGATGTATCAGGAATTCAAGTATGCCTGCTACCTTGGATTTTGCGCAGGCGAAGAGAATTGAAAGCACAATCACCATCAGATCGGTGCCTTCTCCACCAGTAGCAATCAGGACGGAAATTTTCGTCAGCTGTAGCCTGGAAGTAAAGCAATCGTCAGTTTCTTTTGAGGTTGCTCTGTCTTCTGATTGTTTGCCTGGGTATGAATATTACCTTGTGATTTTCACGTTGCTACGTAGAAGATCTGAAAGGATTCGATCCATCTTTTTCCTTGTGTCTTACTAAAAGAAATTAGCATGCAGTATGCGAAATGTTAAGTTTGCTTATTGCTTCCTGTTTAAAGGAAGTCGACTTGTATGTGTGACTTTTGTGTTACTAACTTACTATGCTTAAAAACCAAAATGATCTTTCTGGCTTAGGCTTAGGGCTGAATTGCAGAGCTCTAGCACATGAGGTAGCTGGCAGAGCTCATGTCCGAATTAAGAGCGTTAGGTTGATTTAGGTCGTAAAAAGGGGAAGAGAATAACAATTCAACGAACACCTTTGTGTTTCCTTAAGTTCAATTTATGGGTGGTACAATAATGGAAAAAAATGAGTGCAATTGTTAACTGGTCCTATACCAAGTGAATTTTCTGCAACCATATCTTACGTAAACGCAAAATCTAAATCGGGAGGCATCTCGTCTTTGACCTATCACACTACACTAGATTAAGAAGCGACGCCGACCATATGTGAGAGAACTACTACTGTATGTCTACAGACAAGCTGAAGAACTATTTTGCTACAGGTCATGCATGTCTTTTTTTTCTCAACTTATAGAATTTTCTCTTACAATACTTATCCAATTTATGATCCGATTGCATTGTTGTATTCGTTGCAATAAAATATTTTTAATAAGATCTCACATAATTATATTCTGATAAAAATATATATGTGTATTAAATTACTTTTGTCACATATGTAAATATCACTTTTAGATTTGACTAAATTACTTCTTAGATATTTATTAAAAAAAATTCAATAAAACCTAAAAGTAATTTACATAAATCATAAAAGTAACTTGTCATGACATTATTCAGAGTGCCAAATTAAAAGCGGGTCGGCTGCTGTATTTTTCTTTTGTTCAAAGCATAGGAATGTTGAGCCTTCAAATTTAAATTAGAAATACAGTGCCGTGATTCTTTGATATATATATAGCCCGAGTTCATATTGCGGCCATAGCTACAACTTATTTTCATTTGACATTCAGCTGCTGTGATGCTGCATGGGTGTATATGTAGATTTCTGCACTCTTGGGCTGTTGGCCTTAGAAGGCAGAGAGCAAGAGAAGTAGAGGTGTGTGTGAGGGATTAATTCCTAGGGCAGTTCTCTTGCTTTTCTCCTTTTCATATGCTCAAGGTAAAGTGATCTGGACATGCTAAGGCCAACAAGTATCAATTTCTATTTTCCTTTTTCCTTAGTAGCTCGAACCATAGGATTGGGAGGCACATGGACTTTCCAGGCCATGAAGCACCTCGCGTAATGTTAGGTTCAAGTGCATGTGCTGCAGGCTAGCTATAGGCAGCAATACAAGGCTAAATCAGAAAGAGCCACGAGAGGATCAGAGGCATGCTCCTCCTGTACTTGCTGTGTTGGTACAACTATGATCTTAATAGCTTTTGTACAACTGGATTGATCATGACGTCTTTTGTATACGAAGATCTGTAAAAACTCTTGATCACTTATTTATGGGATCATGTATGCCTCTCGCTACATAGTACAATTGTAGCAAAGGCCAAGATTCTATTCCATTATCTAAGAAACATTGTACAACTGTACAGGAAGAAAACAAATTGAAAACGGTAGTGCTGTTTTGATGTTTCTAATTGCCAGTGCTAATTATGAACTTGAGAATTATAAGCATCTCTACGTGTGTATCATTGTCTTCCATTCTCTTTTTCCCCATAAAAAAACATGAAAAGAATATCTGGCATTCATTACATAAAATGGAGAGCACATGCGCTATAATTATTCCTCTTAACCTGGGTAGTAGGTAAATAGCGTTAATACCACTAGGCCATTTGCCCATTTACCTTTTTCTTTTCTCTCGTGAGCTTTCAGCTGCTAGGATCAAAAACATTTGCCCATTTTTGCCCACTTGCCCACTATATATATTCAGCTGCTAGGATAAAAAACATGAGAGATACACTGAATGACATCAAACAAATAATTAATAAGGCCTAATTTGCTGCCCATTTACCATTCGTGATTGAATCAATGCCGCTTATATATGGATTCCTTCCTTGAGATTAGCTGAATTATTGTGGGATTGGGAGGCACCAGGATGTTCACTGCTTAGGGTACCGGCTTGAGGCCGAAGCGGCAACAGATATGTTTCATGTTGAGCTGCTCTGCTGGGATATGAAAGGTAGGTCTATTCAGCTGTGTGTGACCGTCCTGGCTTGTGTTGAGCTCGGATGTGCTCAGCCTGGCCAGATCTAGTGTTCTGGTGAGCTGTGAGTACCTTTCTAGCAATCTATGCCGCACCACGCGATATGTTTGTGCATGCGCCTTCACTACTCCATGCCAATTTACTATTTTATCACATGTGTAGTTTTAGGCCTTGTTCGGTTAATCACTCCCCGACATAACTGAGGGGATTTAGATGGGATTAACTGAGGGATTTTTTCAATCCTTTTCTCATAAAGATTAACTGAATAATTAAGCCATAAGGAGAGAGGGTCGTAAATCAATTTGCTCTACCATAGATGCAGAGATAAGCGGGGGATGATAAATTGCCCTATGTACTATAGTAGCTAGGGGTTAAAACTCCAAGGCTAAGCTATTTAATCATTTATAGGATTTGAGGTGTTTATACTTCACATGAAGAAACTATAACTCGTACGCGAGAGAGATATTCATGTAAATTCTTAAGAGAATCATGGCTCCGGCTGCCTGGTAATAAGACTAAAGTTATAGAACTGGAAGATAATGTGATCTTATGATATGCTGTTTTTGAACCCTGTATTAGCTTTGATTTTTTTTTATTTTTTGAACTTTTTTATTTTTTTAATTTTAATAATAAACTCATCTGAATTTTTTGGCCACACCAGCCTGCCTGACATAACAAAACAACACTGACACGCTACACACTGCGGACGTGACAGTTTTATCTTGTCACACCAACCAAGGTGAGTATTATGATCATTCATTTACCTTGGCTCGTATCTACTGAGCATAACCATCATCACTAGCTCATTTTTGGATGTGGATTGAACTTTGACTACGTATTTCGCTCACCAAAACACCATGCATACGTACTCGGGGTGTAACCTACCCTCTCCATCCCAAAAAGAGTCTAATCCTAGCTACAAACCTGGATACATGCGTGTTCAAATTCGTAGCTAGAGTTTGTCTTTTTAGGGGACAGAGTAGTAGCTCATTTCAGAATTCCTGCATCATCTATGCAACTTACACTCATTCTGTTGCAAAACAAAGCTGCCGAGCTACAGGCTGCCAAAGACAACTACTCTATCTATCTTCTATCTATCTCATTTTAAGTATAATTATGAGTTTTTTTTCAACGTTTGACCATCCGTCTTATTTGATTTTTTATGATTAGTATTTTTTATTGTTTGTGTGACTTAATTTTTTTAATTTTTTCGTAAGTTTTCCAAATAAGACAAAAGGTTAAACGTTGAACACAGAAACTCTCACAACTATACTTAGAATGGGACGAAAGGAGAAACATAGCATGAATTGTGTCAATCATTTAGTATGCTAGGCATCCTCGCATTAATGATTGAAGCCTTGTACTCCCTTCGTCCCCACAAAAAATGAATCTACGATTGGATGTAACACATTCTAGTATAACGAATCTGGACAGATGTATGTCTAGATCCGTAGTAGTAGAATGTGTCACATCCCGTACTAGGTTGATGTTCTATGGGAAGGAAAGAGGAGGAACGAAAAGCCTATTTAAATGCTGCACAAGATGTGCCAAAGGTTGATTAGACAACATGAGATGCAGGTCCAAGAACGGAGAAGTATGCTCGTGGACAGTAGGATTGGGGGGCACTGGGAACTAAAGTTAAATGAAGAAATAACTCAAGGTGACGTTGAGAATACCCCTTTGCTCCCCAGGCTCAGCTCTTGATCGCACTGTGCACAGAAATTGGTCTTCGTCAGTTCCCTTTTGAGTGCCGTGGATTTCTCAGTGCCCTAACAGTAGGGTTCACTGCACTTCCTTTTATATTTTACTTGAGCTTCATCACATCTTCGTTCAACAGTATGATCAACTCTTTAAAAACACTTGGGTTATATATTTTTAGCGGTTTTCCTAGTTCATGCCCTTGTTATGCATATTAATTTTGTTGATGCAAATGTCACTCAATTAGGTCCGCAACCATTTCTTAATTATGGATATTATATTCTATTATCTAAAAAAATTAGGTCCGCAACCATGGAAATTACCTAATTGAAGTTCATGCATGATAGCTAAAACAAAATTCACCGCTACATGGGGGTAATATCATCCTTTCAGCTTACAGTACTGATTATTACTGCAGGCCATAGGCAGCTATGGAGGGCTTAGAGTAATAGCAACGAGTAATAGCAACGAGAGGGCCCGGCATGCTTATGTTCTTATCCGGACCAATGTGCAGTACATCTATGACCCTCTCTGTACATGAAACCACAAATTTGATCCCTTTGTATAGGAAGATTTACAAAAACACTTATTTTTTAGATGCCCTACATAGCGATATTCGTACTCTCTCTACTATAAAATATAAGGGATTTTGGATGGATGAGACACTTCATAGGATTATCTAGATTCAATCCTTTAAAATGTTCTATCCGTCCAAGATCTCTTATATTTTAAGACGAAGAGAATAGTATATGTTCTATCCGTCCAAGATCTCTTATATTTTAAGACGAAGAGAATAGTATGCAAGAGCAAGCCCCAAATATACTGACAGTTTTGAAGTTTGCACGCTCTAATGATACGTGCGCACCTTTACTCTCTAGTAAATGATCTACATTTCACATCAATGTCGCTGGAAAGAAATTAAAGAACCAAGGATTAGTATGAGAGGGTTGGAGCATGGAAGAGGAAACTGAAAGGGTGCAAATGTATTAGAGTGCACTATAAAGCCTGACCAAGAGTGGCCAACTTATGATTTATAATTTGTGTATAAGTGACGATAACTTATATTTTCACGTGTAGTTCCCATTTAGAAGAGAGGATCATAGCTAATTTTGGCCTGCAAACTAAGCTTGGATGCGGAGATAAGGAGCAAATTGTTGGCCTGTTTGTTGGTGAGTACTTTTTCATGGTGGTCTCTACTATAGTACCATTCTACTGTATCTATGCATAGAAGCAGTTTAAGCTATTGATTTATGAGTTCTACTACCACTTAAAAATATTTTATTATTAATAGCTAAGATGGCACACTACTACACGATTGATTTTTCTGGACGTCCCTCCTCTTTGTTTCCATGCAGTCCATAAGTGGAACCGCACGGAAAAATTGAGAGAGCGGCGCTGGGTGTCGCCCGTACGAAAAAATCGATTTTCCCGTGCGGGCGTCCTAATCCAACAGCACGGGATATTCCTCCGATTTTCCCGTGCGGGCGTCCTAATCCAACAGCACGGGATATTCCTCCCTCCTTTCCCTCCACCCACTTCAAATTTTTCCTCTCCCTCTTCCTTTTTCCCCTTTATTCCCTCTCAACCACTCCCCTCCCTCTCTACCTTATCTCTTTTTTTATCTCTTCTCCCTCAACCACTCCCTCAACCCTCTCTCTACCTATCTCTTCTCCCTCAACAACTCCCTCAACCGGCTGGGGCGTGGTGGCGGCGGTCGGTAGAGGCAGCGGAAGGGCGCGGCAGCGGCCTGGGCGAGGCGGCGGCCTGGGCAAGGCGGCCGCCGGGACGAGGCGGCGGCTGGGCGGGCGGCCGGGCGAGGCGGCCGCTGGGACGAGGCGGCGGCTGGGCGAGGGGCGACCGGGCGAGGCGGCGGTCGGGCGAGGCGGCGGCCGGGCCGAGGGGCGGCCGGGCGAGGCGGCCGCTGGGACGAGGCGGCCGCCGGGGCGAGGCGGCGTTCGGGCGCGGTGGCAGTCACGACGGTGGCCAGGTCTTGTCGGCGAGCAGCGATGGTGGCCGTCAAGACCTCGCCGAGGGTGCCGACCGCTTGGCCCTCGCCGTCGACGACCACGAGGTTGTCGCCGACGACTTCCGCGGCGCCACCTTCCACCACCGCCACCACGCACTTGTCGAGAACGCCTACCTCCCCCACGTCCTCGCCGAGGGCCGCGCTGTCACCGTCCGCAACCGCCAGCGCCGCCTCTTCACCAACGGGGTGGCGGCAGTCGGGCGCGGTAGCGGCGAGCAGCGAGGCAAGGCTTTGTCGTCCGCTCGTCGTCCTCCTCCTGGTCGTCGCATGCGGCGGCCGGCGGCGTTTGTTGCTTTTTTTATATATATTTTTTTGGCCTTTTTTGGTTCTATGCGGGTGATATAACACAACCGTATCCCGTGCGGTCCCAGATGATGGTCCCAGATGATGAACTGACAACCGCACGGAAAAAACAAAATACCCGTTTGGAAAAATCATGTTTGTAGCAGTGGTAGTATAAATAGAAAAGGTACGTTAGACAAGAAAAGATGAAAGGAGTATAGGTGGTGTTTACATCCAGGGACTTAACTTTAGTCCCTGTCTTTAGACACTAATTTAGAGTATTAAATATAGACTACTTACAAAACTAATTACATAAATAAAAGCTAATTCACGAGATAAATTTTTTAAGCCTAATTAATCTATAATTAGAGAATGTTTACTGTAGCATCACATAGGCTAATCATAGATTAATTAGGCTTATTAGATTCGTCTCGCAAATTAGTCCAAGATTATGGATGGGTTTTATTAATAGTCTACGTTTAATATTTATAATTAATTTTCAAACATCCGATGTGATAGGGACTTAAAAGTTTTAGTCTCATCTAAACAGGGCCTAAATTGCCCTATTTCTTGGTAGGGGTTCAAACATCCAGGCTGAGCTGTGTAATCATTTGTAG